GCAGTTCTGTAGAAATTTAACTCATGAGAAACTGCAACAACATTTCAATCAGGTGCACATATGATATTCTGGTCTATTTGTCATAATAAATGTAGAAGGTTGACATATAAAGACAGAAAGTACAATTTTTCTTTAAGATGACATTTTCTATTTTTTAGCAGCATGTTTTCAAGTTACTCGATTAAAGTTACAGCATATTTGTTCCTATTTTTTTGACAGTTTTTGTCTAATATATTTACACCAGGGCACTCAGAAGTCAATAAAATCATGCACGTACTTATGAGGTATGGATGTTTGTATTAAATTGAAATATATATTGTAAATTCTATTATGCTGCTGAAATTCAAATAATATATGTTTTAGATCTGTTAGTTGTTTGCAGATTTGTGGGACACGTCTAAATATTATTGAGCGAAACAAGTATTGCTTTGGTGGGGAATCCATTTCGGTATGTATTTATATTTTATGTTAACTCTTTACATTTCTATTTTTTTCTACTGTCCGATATATGTTTGATCAAGAGTTTTAGATCTTTTTCTTATGCAGACGCTAGACTTTTGATGTTGTTCAAGGAAAACTAGAAAGAATGAGATATCCGTCGAGTCCAGTTCATTTTAGTGTAACAAATTTGCCTCCCTTTTGATATTTAGTAATGCATACATACATATATATGTGTATATTTATTTAATTTTAGGATAAAAGGGGATGAGAGTTTGCCGACTATTTATGTGCTCACTGCAATTAAGAAACTAAATGTATTTTTTTGGGTTTTGTTGAACAAGTGTGTTTTGTCAGCTATTGTGTTATTTCTTGAGATAAGATCATGGGGCTTAATTTCATTAGCTTTTTACTCATAAATCTGGTATGGCTTTTTGTTATTATTGGGAAATTACATAGGATTATTCAGTTTAATATATATACTCTTTGTTAGGTGTGTAGTAGATGGAGTTAATGATTAGATATTACATATTTGAAGTATTAGGTATGAGTGTGAATATATGTTTAATAAGATCTGGATGTGCTCTTAGCAAGGAAATAAATAGCTCGCTAAAGTTGCCGCTATTTGAGAAATAACTTTTTTTGGTAGCGTGCCGCTATTTGTATTCATGTGCAATTTGGCCGCTAAATCCCGCTAAATCTCCGCTATAGCTACAGTGCCATAAACGTTTTAGCCCGCTATTTAAAACCTTGGCTCTTAGTGAATTCATGATATTGAGTATATTTATTCCAGCCATAGTTATTCCTTT